CGAGCGAGAGCCGCGCGCAGTCCCTGTTGACCATCAGGGCGGCGGGCGCGGTCTGCAGCCTTCCTCTCAGCACGCTGAGTCGACCGCGCCTTGCGGGCCGCCTCGGCCGAGGCGGCAGCAGCAGCATCCTCCTCGGCGCTGACTGGCACCTCGGCGGCCGCGGCGGCGGCGGGTCCAACGGCGCCCGCGGCCGCTCTCACGGCGGCGGCAGGCGGCGGGGGCCCCTCCGGGGGGGCGCGGGCCACAGGTGCGGCGGCCGGCACGGCGTAGGCCGCGGCAGGGGCCTCAGGCCCAGGCGCGGGGGCAGCCGCGGCGCCCGCTGGCCCCAGGCGCTGGGGGGGCCCTGCGAAGGGCCGCACGTCGGGCGCAGGCATAGCCGTCCCGCCAGGCGCCGCTTCGCCGCGGGCCGCCGCCATCTGGCCCTGCATTGACGCCAGCAGCTGCGTGGGGCCGACGAGCTGCTGGGTGAGCGCCGCCTGGCCAGCCTGCAGCTCCGCGATGGCCGCGATGGGCGGCGCGAGGTCGGGTGGCGTGCCTGGGGCCGCATCGCCCTCAGCGCCCGCCACGGGCGTCGGCGCGGCGGGCTCCTCCATCGGCTCGTCGCCCGTGGGGGCCATGGCCTCGAGCTGCTCCAGCAACGTCTTGGCCCGTCCGAGGGCCTCCGTGCGCTGTGCCACCTTCGCCTCCTGCTCGGCGAGCTCCTCTCGCGCCCGCGCCGCAGCAGCCTCGGCCTTCTCGAGCTTGCCCTGAGCTCGCTGCACGAAGCTGCGCTGGCGGTCGCAGCGGGCGCCGGGGGCGCGGGCGAGGATGATCATGCTGAGCTGCACAGCGTACTCCTCCTCCTGCGGCCGCCTCTGCTCGGGGCTCATGCCGAGCTCCATGGCCGCCTGCAGCCTCTTGCCCGTGGCGGCGGCCATCTGGCGCAGCGAGCGCCTGTGGGCCACGAGCCCGCGCTCGTCCGACGGCGGCTCGACCCAGGCTGGATGGGCCCTCGCGTCCAGCGGTAGGGCGGGCAAGATGCCGAGCGCGGGGCTGCGGCCATCGTCCTCGCCCTCCGAGGCGTCGGACTCGCCTTCAGCGAGACGCCTCCGTCGGCCCTCGCCGTCGGCAGAGCGGCAGCGGCGGCGCGAGGCCGACCGCTGGCGCGGCTCGCCGCCGTCGCCCTCCGCTCCCTCGTCCTCGAAGCGGACGCGCGAGGCCGATCGCGGCCGCGGCTCGGCCTCTGGCTGGCGAGCTTCGCCCTGGCCGCCGCGGCGCCTGCGCCTCGAGGCAGACCGAGGCTGGCGGCCGTCGCCGCGCGGGCGCGCCGCGCCTCCTCCCCCTCCGTGCACAGGCCCGTGCGCAGGGAGGGGGCAGCAGGTGCGGCACAGGGCGTCGGTGGGGGCATTGAGCCCGCCGCACGCCGAGCACCACCAGCCAGGCGGCGGGGGCGGGACGTGCCACGGCGGCGTCGCCTGGCTCGGGCCGCCCGTAGCCGCAGGGCGCCCTTTGCCGCCTGCGCCAGCGCGCCCCCCACCGGAGGGCCCAGCACCCTTGCCTCCGCCAGCGCTGCCCTTGCCGTACATGCCTGCGTCGGGCGAGGCGGCGCTGTGATGCGCGCGCAGGCGCGGGCTGGCGTCGGCCAGCGGCCTCGGGTCGCGGCCAGCGACCCCGAGGCGAGCCCGCGCGTCTGCGAGCCGCACCAGCACGCGAGCCTGGCCGCGCAGCCAGCGGGCCCGGCGGTGCCAGGCCGGGTTGGCGCGCGCGCGGCGCCGCCCGAGGGGCGTGGCGCCCGATGGGCGCGGCGCTGCCCGCAGCGCAGGGCGCGGCGAGGCGGCCCACGGCGCGCCAGGCAGGCGCGACGGCCTGCGGGAGCGGTGGACGGGCCGCGGCGCGGGCGGGGCACGGCCGGCCCGCAGCGCGCCAGGCGTGCGCGGCGGCCCGCGCGTATGGCAGCTGCCCGGCGGCGGTCGAGGCTCGCAGGTGTCTGACACCTGCTCCCAAAGCCTCGAGCCGGGGCGGCAGCTCAACGACGAGGGAGGAGGGAGG